AATGTTTCCATACAGTTTTGGGGTTTTACAAAAAGGAACATTCAATAAAAAAAGCCTATTGCCAGGGTGGAGATATAAAGGCTCCAGGAAAGTCCTACATTTTACTTTGGGTTTTCCAAGTCCCTGATTCTGGGTTGCTTAAGAAAGAAAATAAAGAAAGAAACCAGTCTCTAACTGTATAGGACTCTGTGAGGCATTCCATTCTGATTAGAGCGTTGGATTTTCACCACACGTCAGGAGTTTTCAATATGATCACTGCACTTACAGTACAAGTTGCACAACAAACCATGTTGGTCAAATTATCAAAGCTGCCGGTCTTAACAGAATATTATCAGATTCCTTTGGTTATTTTTGTTCCTAATTCACCAATCAGATGTAAACTGTTGGAGTCACAATGATTAATTCTAGACTTTTTTTTTTTATGTGCTTTTTTTTTTTGCCAATTCTTTATCACAATATTACTTTCTCGTCCTGCATAAAAAAGATAAAAATTACACAATGGTAAATGTATATTTTCAGAAATAGAGCTCAGTATCTTTACAGTCATTCCTCATGCCAGATCTGTACCATTATAATGTTTACTTAAAAGCGCCTATACTGAATATTTCAGTCATCAAAGATGAACACTGTAGAAGCAGGGTAGTAGCAGCATCATGCTGCGGGTGTGTATGATTCTGATTTTTTATTTTTTTTTAGCTGGAGGACCAGGTTTGTGTTATCACACCAAAAACATAAATTCACTCTAACAATTTCGTCCAGAGGAGTGCTGGATTATTGAGCCATAATAATACCCAGTTGTTTGAACATTTTAGCATTTTGACACTATTAATTAGAGAGAATCCACCATAAATGCAATATTTTGTTGTGAAATTATTTCCTGTTGTAAAATAATAAAAAGATTACAATAAAAAAATACATTGAGCATGTTGAGTGAAAGTTGAGAACTTTTCAGTATATGGGCATTTGAAAAATGTAAGGTTTTGTTAATGATGCTAAACATGATGACTATGCTAGCTTCAGTTAGCATGCCACATAAATATTTATTTATTTTTTGCGATATGATATTATGTGAGATTTTAATTCATAAAACATTTTTTGTCACAACTTTGGTGTTAACTATCCACATAAAATACAACTAATATGTGTTTTGCGCTTTTGGAGTATTTGTAAGCGGGGAATGCTAAAAGTAGCACGCCATGCTAACTGCGACAATGTTAACGTTAAGTTTAGACAGGGAGCGAACTGAGCTAAAAACATTTTTATACCAAGTCTATTGTGTTTTTTACCCTCTTAATGCTAAAGCTAAACCAAATCATATTCACATTACATTTATGGAGCACAATTTCAACCTTTTTTTAACCAAATATCTGCATAAACAGTGAGCTGGAGATAAATTTGATGTACTTTATTTGACAAAATATGGACTTTTTACTGTAATGACGATCTTTACATATATAATGTACACATACTAACTGTACAACTCAAATACATGTGTGGTTTATTCAGCTCCTTTTTTGATAAATAAAAACAGAAATCAGGAACTGTGGAGCCCGTCCCCCCTTCTGAGCCACTTTCTGTCTCTAAATATCTGAAAAACAAAACAAGAAATTCTGTTGCAGGTCGAGAAGGAAACCATTAAAATGTCCTCCAACATTCACTTAAACAGTAAAGAGGTCAGAAATGAAAATAAGTAGCATCAGAACTTCTGAACCTCAAGTAATCTCATTATCATCATCAGCAGCAGGTAAATGAAATCTTTAACAAAAACACTGAAAACATGCCCAAACCTAAATGAAACCTTGGCATAAATTAACAAAACTAGAATAATTTTATATTAAAAAAAACAAAACAAGTATGCTTCTTTTTATGTTTTTAACCAGAAAAACAAACCAAAAAGTGGTAAGAAAATGTCATGCAAACGCCCCTCTAATGAGAAAGGAAAGACTGATAGGAAGTGTTTGTGGATTCAGAACAAGCCTGATGTTTTCACACAGTTGCCTTTTAAACAGGATTAACATTCACATAAAACTCATCACAAGTACTTTCAATTTTATTTTAAGCAAAACAAAAGGAAGCTCTGATGTTTGATATCTGATACCTGTAGACATCGGAGAAGTTCTGCTTTTTGTTATAACCACATCACATGAGCTGAATTTAGTTGAGAAATTATTTAACAGCAACACAATGTACTGTCTTATTAAGCAATACCCTTCTAGGTCACTGTTAGGATAATACATATTGGAATAATAAATATAAGCAATTAGAAAGCTAGTGTAATGGCAGATTGTGGAGGGCAGCGCAAATCATTTCCACATTTCAGCATAAATCACATTACAAAAAAAAAAGATCTAAATTTTAAATGAATTGAAGAGGTCCAGTTTTACTTAGAAGTTTTCTCGGTAAAAACATTTGGAATAATGTGGAGGATTAAGAGAAGGAATCCTGATTTCTGAGTCGAATTAACTTTTTGTGACTTTCAAGATACATATCCCTGTTGTCAATGAACAACTTTCATCTTTACTAAAGTTTAATAGAGAAGACATTGCAGAGTGAGTGCTCTGAAGTACATAAGCAAACAAACTCAAAGTGCACTGAAGAAACATTGCACATTCAATAATCCTCAGCGCTTAACGCTCGCCTAGGTTGAAACATTAATGTAATGTAAACAAAGAACAGAGAAATTCCCCCCCGCAAAAAAAAAAAAAAGACCTCATCTTTTCATATTTTCTTAAATATGGCTCAGACCGTTTCTTTTATGGATAAATGCTGCAAAACACACAAAGATACATTGCTTTTGGTGAAGGATGAAAACTTAAAAAGAAAAGCTGGACTCTGTAGTTGTCTGTACACCATGGAGAGGAAAACAAAAGTTTTTTTTTAATTACTTGGATATGTTATGAGGCATTGTTTTTTATCAAACAAAAGGCTATATGAGTCAGAAGTACCTGCTTTTTTTTATGTCCCATTAAAAAATTCTTTTTTTCTATTGTTCTTTTGTTTTACGTTGAAAGCTTCCAAACTAGCTCTCTGCTATAAGGTTTTTCCCTTCTCATTTCTTATATTTAAGCTGCATAAAAAGCTGCTCCTCCTTTAAACCAAGGGATAGGGTTAGACACCTCAAGAAACAGGATTGGGACAAACTGCTCCCTTTGAGGCTGATGGGTAAATAAATCTGTGAATATTTTATGGTGGATTTCAGTAATGTGGTTTAATAAAACAGAACAGC